CAATTCAGTTTGTACAATACATTTGGCTCATTCATAGGCTACATGTATGTGCATGTACAGTACATACACTCATATTTGTTTAGTTGTACATTATGTAAGCCTGAGCGCATTTGTAATATTTTTAGGTACTTACTACTAATTAGGTCAATTTATACAGCTCAACTATTTTACACTCTACTGCGCTGTGATGTAAACAAAACTTTTGGCAGTGCTAATTTACAGACACACAGTAAAACCTATTCAAAAGCCCCTGAAAAGAAGTGTGTCTTTCCTTTGTCTAGTGGTAGATTATTCCAGGGAGGTGAGACTCACCTCCCTGGTTATTCCCAAGCTTTGGAGCTGCACAGCTGAAAGTGCAACCTCCAAGATTTACTTTCGTTTTTGTGTGAGGTAGCTTTAGAAGCAGCTTGTCCAGTGTATGTCGTAATATTTAACCGTCATAATATTTCACTATCGTACTGTTGTAACTGTACTTCATACTGTTGAAAATAGAATTAAAAAAAACTTTATGTTTAATAGTAGAAGGCTTGTTGTTTCCACTTCAGCTCTAAATGTATGTTTTTAAATTAAATCATAAACTAATGTTGTTCAGTTTAATTTAGTTTCCTTTTACATTCATGAACAGCCGGGACATCAAAACATACAATGACATATCCAATTACAATAGAAAATAGAAAACAAAAATTTGCAACAACAACTTATTAGTGGTAATTGGTATGAATGATGATTGCTACGAAGGGTCATAATTCAGTAAAGACTGGAAAATAACTGGAAATGGTTCTATACATTATACAGAACATGTAGAGTAGCAGATGAACTTCATATTAGACGTGTATTTGAAGTAATTTTTTTTCCTTCATAATTTGCCCCTGATGTCAGGAAAGAAAACCTGTTTTGAATTTCAGAACATACTGATAAATACATACTGCCACTTTGTCCCATAATACTTTCCCAAAATAAATTTACGCACTTTACTTTAAATTGTGCAAACTATATAGTATTAGAATGTAGATTTAAATGTATTACACATGTATATTATCAATAACAATAAAATATGTCAACATCAGTTAAAATAATTAGTATAATATACATGTAGTTGTTTATTAAATTTATACTGTATTGTATAATTTTAAAGTTGTTTTGATGGAAACTTATTTGAGCAGAGAAAAACAAGCAAACAAATTTGAAAAAACAAACATACGTCATATTTCTCAAACAAAACAATATTTGTTAACCAAACAAGAGGAAACAATGTACAGTTTTGTAGAAACAATCAGGATATGTTTCATATTGTAAATAGTAAAGATTTTGACAGACAGCCAGAATAATAGAACTTTTGGTTTGACAAATTTTCTATTGTATTTTAATAGTGCTGTATGGATGAAAGCACTAAATGTTAGCCTTGATTAAAAATCAAGTCATACACAAGTACCTTCTGGTAAAGGATACAGATGTTAAGTGGTCTGCTTTAACTACCAGGTATTTAATTTCCATCATTTCCTGATAATACAGATGATTTTATACACTTGATTTGATTGATCAATGTACACATTTTTTTTTATAATACATTCCAGGTTTAATTATGATGCTGTACGTATTCATGAGGTGTAACTGTTTTGTTAATGATTCAAATAGAATAATTTCAATTTGTAGACCTATTACTGTAAAACTATACAAATCTTTATGCATGCAAAGTTCTGTATAGGTCTACATTTGTTGAGAAAATTGGTTTATTGCTGTTTGGTCCAAAGTCAGTTCGTCTACTACCAATTGGTCTATTCCCATATGGTCTACAACCAGCCTGTCTACTCAGTGTCCACATGGTCTAATAATCATTTCATCTACTTATCATTTGGTCTAATGACCATTTAGGTCAATACTCATTTGGTCTAACTTCCATTTGGTCTAATCTCCAATAAGTCTACTTCCCATTTTGTCTATTGCTCATTTAGTCTAATTTCCAGTCAGTTTAATTCCCAGTTTGTCATGCCCATTTTGTCTGCAATTTATATGGTCTAGAACTAATTTAATTATAAATAATAATAATCATCAAATGTTTAAAAGAACTTATCGATTGTGCATTTGACAAACTGGGAATTAGACAAATTGGTTCGTTTTACACTTTAGGTATGCATATTACGAGTTCTATACAGGCCTATAATACATTGGTTGTGAAAATTCATCTGTGTGGCCAAGTAGCCTTCTTTACTATTGTTCCCAGGTATAAAACCCAAACTGATTTATTACCGAACCTAAAGTCCCATTAAAACTCAATAAAAGAAACACCCTTAGTGGTTTATATCTGATGACAGTCCCCTTCACACTTGAAAAAGCATCTTCTGAATAGTTTATTATATAAGATGGATTTACCCCCAAATTTTGACATACTGTAGATAACTACAGGTATAAAGGTTTCTCTATAGCTTTATAATGCTAAGTGAGTATATTTTGTTGAGTAAATGTCATAGAGTATCATCTACATGTACTGGGAGGCAGAAAGCCATTGATTTGTATCATTTAACACAGAGTTAATGCCCTTCTGGCTCCAAACAGGTGGTACTATCGCATGTGTATGCTTATAAGAGATGTCATAGGCTGCGTTCATGCTTAAATTTTGAAGGCAGAATGAGCGATCTGAAACGCTCATCGTAAACGCTCATCGTGATCGCAGTTCCAGGATGTACTGTTCATGTTTACTTTTCTGGCTCACCCAGGCAATTCTCCGTGTGTGGCCTTAATTGGTCTTCCAGCTGGATTCGCAAACCTTCACTGTGCATGCTACGTAGACCCACTAGAGGTCAGTGCGTTGACCCTATTTAAACGCGTTTACAAATTGTAAACGCATCTTTTTGTGAGTTTATGATCGGCGATCGTGATCGCCGTTTTTCAGTGATTCTACAAAAGTGAGCATGAACGCAATCGTGTTTTAAACTAAAGGCGTAACAGATGCCTGATTCTGGCCGTCAAAATCAAGCATGAACGTGCCCTTAGTCTAGTGGTTTAAGCACTTGACTTGAAATTCAAAGGTCTGACATGGCACTAATGAACTTTGGCAAGGCATTAATCTACATTTGCCACTCACTACCCAAGAGAGAAATGGGGACTCGGTAGGATGACGAAAGCATTTGTGTTAGTAATTGCCCTCACAGTGATCATATGGTAGGAATACTCCCCAGGGAAAAGTGGAGATGGTGCACATTGTGCGCGAATTAATCTGATGATCGGGATAATAACTGTAAAGCGCTTTAAAAATCAAGATTGTCATTATTATTATAGTCATACTTGTTTCTTTGTTATGAATCTTTAACTCTCATGACAGTTTGTTTTTGGTCTTGTACCGGAAACCGAAACTTGTAAATGGGCGATGTCATGCAATGTGTCCCATGCATGTACCATACAACATTGCTTTTACTTTCACGTTGTGTGTTTGGAGCCAGAAAGGGCATTATCTTGTATACTTTAACACAGAGTAAACACCCTTCTGGCTCTCAATACCATACAACATTAACAAGGGTGTTAACTCTTATACTTTAACACAGAGTTGACGCCCTTCTAGCCGGCTCTCAATAAGCAATGTATGTACAGTATTTCATCCTAAAATGAAAAATTCTTGATATATCTTTGACTAGTGGTATAGTGATAGTCAAAAGATATATACTAGTCAGTGGTCACATCAAGAAATGTTTCAATTTCGGATTTGAATTTAATGGATAACACTAGCAGTCGTATAGAATAACAAACTAAATTATTCATAGCCCTGGTAAATTTGATGTTTTTTGCGTTTTCATTTAATACTCAAGAATGAAAGGTGACTGGTTGAATAAGGGCATTTGTTGAATACTTTTAGAAGTAAGCTTGAATATTTGTCACATTCTCAAGAAACATATATCTGGAAACATAATTTTTTCTTCGCATAATTAAAAAACTATATAGACCAAACTTGGCATTAAAGAGTATATGAATACTTTAATTACTGTATGTCATATTGGTCACATTTCCCACGCTCATTTGCGGAATCGCTCAAATGTGAAATGTGCAGCACTAGTGAGCAATATGAATGAATGGTTTTAAGGCTCTAATGTGAACAGGGCAACAGACTATTGGTGACTATCGACTTAACCGCTCATTTGAGGAATCGCTCAAATGTGAAATCTGCAACACCAGTGGGCAATATGAATGAATGGTTTTAAGACTCTAATGTGAACAGGGCAACAGACTATTGGTGATTGTTGACTTAGGGAGTGAATCAAACTGACACTTGACTCATAGCTCGGCTTTGAGCTCTACTGTATACAAAATACTAACGCTATTTGTCAACACCTTACTCATCCATTGGTCTTATTATATTATTCCGCTGGACCAAAAAAGGACCAAAAATGGACAGTTGGACAGCTATCTGACATGACATGACACATAGGGTGCGTTCAAGCGATTTTTTGAAGCTAGAATCACAAACATAAATCACTAATCAAAACACTGTTAAAAAACATGGTTACTGCGGGAGAGCGTTCAAGTGATTTTTCATCAACGCTGATTCTTGCTCGTTTTAAACCCAGTCATTGCTCATCACACTGTGCAGTTTGACCCAGGAAGTATGCATGTAGGTCAGCTTCGCCGAGTGCTTTCTGAATTTGTTTACTGTCAACTGTCGGCCAAACCGGAAGCAGGCCACAATATTGCCGTTATAGAATCATGATTAAGATCTTTGTTCGTTCAAGCAATTTTTAGCAGAATCACGTTCAGCGTTTCAAGTTTGCGTTTTTAAACACATTTATTTTTACGACCGACGAAAAAATCTCTTGAACTCAACCATGATTTAAACTAAACGTCTTTGAAAAATGTGTTTCTAGGGTGAAAAAGTGTCACTTGAATGCACCCTAGGCCTACACAAAGCACATCCCTGCTCTGTTTGACAACAAATTGACAGGGCATTGCTTCTGTACTAGTCCAGATTGTGTCAATTTTTTACATCATTTTCCCCTCTCTTACATTCCACACAGAGCACAAAGTTTCCACTAATAGCGCGACCCCCGGAAATGCACCCATCGTTTGCAAGGGTAAGCATGTATGGACTGTCTTTATTTTTAGTGTTGAGGGTGTGTTATTTTTTCAGCTGAATACTTCTGTACATGTATGTATCATTACATGGACTGTGAATAACTTTAAAAATAGATACTGCACATTGTTTTCATTGTGTATTGGTATTTTTTTGAAAATCCTTCCCTCAATTTATACCAACATGTTAATACAGTCAAACCTGCTTTTGCTTGACCACCTGTATAGAAGTTAGACCACCTGTCTATAGAGACCACATTTTGCTGGTACCATTGAATATGGTTCCTCACTGAAACCTGTACCAAAGTAACCTTTACATAAAGACCACCTGCCTATGGAGACCACTTTTTATGTTCCCCTTGAGCGGTCGATACAGGTTTCACTGTATTCGCCTTGAGCACGCCACAGAGTGGATTTGGCACTTTATAAGTTACATGTATATTATTATTAAAAAACAGAGGAAATTGATGGTACTTAAATGACATTAGTACCTACATGTATGACAGTATTGGATTACAGGAAGTTGCAGGAAGGAAGAGCTCTTACAAATGTCAAAATCAAATGAATGCACTTTTATGATATGGGGGGGGGGGGGGGGTGCATGTTTCACAAAGACTAAGATCGACTTTAAGTTGGACTTAACTATGGCAGGCCGTTCATGCCTCTAGTTGCTCTCACCATCGGTCTCTAAATTATGATCTATAGATAACATTTTTTCCTACAATAATTAACTATAACAAAATGTAAATTCTGTAGATGTGTGACCATGATTTGTACATCCCTTGAGAAACCAATGCCATTAAATGATGAGAGAAAATTTTGGCATGAATGGCCTGCCATATTTAAGTCCAATTAAAGTTGATCTTAGTCTTTGTGAAACACTCCCCATGGTCTGATAGCGATACTTTGCTAATAGTAGGCCTACAAAACATATGCGTGCTCCAAATGTGCTCGATAAACAAACTGTTTTTAAATTTCATTATCACATGAGGAAGAATGAGAAAGCAGAATTTTAGTTGATGAAAACAGAAAATGGAAATTTTATTTGATAGTTTTTTTTGGAGTGAAAGTGAGACTAGTAGTTGATGAATTGTAATACCGGTATTTTGAATCTTTAATTTGGGGACTACTGTGAGACTGCACATAAACAAAACATCTTGAAGGTTGTGAAGTTCAGTAATTTGGGATGATTTGAACTTCTATACTTGAACATCTATACTTAACTGCTTTACTTTCCTCATTTTTCTGCTGAAATTAACTTAAAATGTATTTTGCTGGTACCCTGTAAACACCACGATTTAAAGTTTATATTAGTAGTATAGTTAGTAATGATAATAATAATGAAACTAATAAGAAGTAAAAAGAGAATTAGAAGGAGAAGGAGGAAAGAAAAAGAAGAAGAAATTGTTTTAATATTCATCACTATTCAGTCATCATGCACTTTGGAGGATAGAGAAAGAGATAGTATTAGATAATAAGAAAATATAAATCAATTACCAACTGAAAAAAACAAACTTAATTATTAGTAGTAGTCTTAACTAAAACTGGTGTTTAACAAATGAGTTTTTAGTCTCCTGGTGAACTGGTTGATTGTGACTGCCTCCTATACAGCATCAGGTAATGCTGTTGGTATCATTCCATAATTTAGTTTAGCAAGTATATGTCATAGACCTACATGTACATGTGTATGAAAAAAGTAAGTTCAAATCCTGTACGTGTGCATGCTGACTGCTGAGTGATGCTGTTAGATGTACATACAAACATGAATAAATATATATCTTTATGATGTCAGCTTTAGTCATAACCTCATAAAATTGAGATAGCATCTCTCTTGGCAGAGAGGGAGGGAGTGGAGGGAGTGGAGGGAGAGCAGAAAGGGGGTATGGAGAGAAGGCGGAGGGGAGGCAAGGGGGTTCATATAGGGGACGGGGAAGAGGAGGAGGGGCGATGAGGAGGGGGGGGGGGGAGGAGGAGAGATAGGGGAGGGAGGGAGAGAGTCAGTGAAAGGAGAGAGGGGTAGAGAGTGGGAGATGGAGAGGAGAGGGAGAGGGGGAGAGGGAGAGGAGAGGAACAGAGTTGGAGAGATGGGGGAGCGAGGGAGAGGGGGAGAGAGGGAGGAAAGTAGTGAGAGGGGAAAGGGGAAGAGAGAGGGGGAGGGGGGTGGAGGGGAGGGGAGGAGCGAAGGGGGAGAAATGGAGGAGAGGGAGGAAGAGAGAGAGAGAAAGAGAAGGGGGAGAGAGGGGAGGAGGGAGGTGAGGGGGGATGTATTTGAGAGGGGAAGGAATATAGGAGCAAACAATAGAAATATGGAAAAGGAATGTATCTTGCATGAAAGTTAGAAAGAATAGCATTAACAAGAGTGAAAGAGAACAAAAGAGAGTGAAAACGAAAGAAAACGTAGTTGATTATAACAAATTAGAAAACTAGAAATGCAATCGTGTCACAACGATGTGCGTGCAATGACGCCGTGTTTCTACGTGTCGAACGAAAGAGCTTCTCTCGGACTATCCAGAGCAATTTGTACGAAGTCTTTAGCTTCTGTAATATTGGAGACAGGTAGGGCGAAAGAAAGGCCTCAATAGTGACCTTGATGGGATGGTAGTGACTATGCCTACGATGTTTGAAAGAAATTGGGATAGGGGAAAGAACCTAGAAAGGGCTCGCAAGCACTACGTGCAAAAACAAATGGGATTAGTTGCATGTTCGTCATTGCAATCAAGATCGTTCTAGGGGTCAAAAGCGTGAACCCGATTTGCCCCATAGACAATGCGTGTAATGCATGGACGGAAAACGTACAGGATCTGTATTATGACCGGAGTTAAATTGTTTTTTCTCTCTCTCTTTATGTCTCTTTATGGGCCGTATATGGTATCATTGGAAAGAGAATTTCATGGTCGTTATTGTAAACTACTCTTTTTTTTTATATGATAATCCTATTGAAACATGTGATGTAAAATAGATTTAAAGGACAAAATGGCGTCTTAAATGGCCACCTTGACCAATTTCAAAAATCCGGCCAAGAGGTGCCCTGCGTATTGCATCTCGGAATGTCATTGCAAATTTTCAAGGAAAAAAAAGGATGTTTAGGGGGCGAAAAGTAGTCTGAAAAAATGACGTCATGGCCGATAAGTGTTATAATCGGGCGGAATTCGTATAGTGACCCTTGTTCAAATGCGATTTACTCACAACTTTCTGTGTAAACATATACCATACTTGGTATCATTCGAAAGGGCACTTCATTGCGGTCAGTTTGACACCATTGTCATCTGCACGCAATGTACTGCACGCATTAAAGGCGCTATTACGTAATGCATAGCAAATTCATCATTTTTGGCGATAACTTTGCAACGAGGGCATTACAATTTATTAAACTTGGCAGACAGTTGTCACGTATATGGATACATATGTGTGCCAAGTTTCATTGGTGTAGGTATAAAGATCGCCATTTTAAGTTATTTTTGAATTTTCTTGAAAATGGCGAATTTGGAGGGCATTTTTCTCAAAGTCAGTCAGTGTAAGGGTATATAATTTTGTATATGGCTGGAAAGGGCATATCTTCAAGTATCTAAATCCAAAAAAGGGTACGGATTTGCCAAGCCATAATGGAGATACGGCCATAGAAAGAAAGCCAATTCCCAGAACTTTAGAGGGCGCTATTTACGTTTTGCAAAGCCATTAGAGCGTGAAATTTGGCATGGCTATGTGCAATTATGAGATAAAGATACTGTGAGATTTAAATACAAAACGGAATTTATATGAGAAAGTTATGGCAGTTTTAGATTATTTAGGGGTCATTTTTTCAAGAATTTGAGAGATTGTTGACGGAGACGGTTTCAGATTTGAATTTTGAGTATAAAGATGGCATTTTGAAGGGCAGGTTATACGTCGCAGATTAAAGAACATCTCTTAGACTATCTAGAGAAAATTGTTAGAAGTGTGTAGTATCTAGGATAGTGGAGATAGGAAGGAAGAAAGAAAGGCCTTAAAATGGACCAGGAACAGACAAAATGGCGCCTGGATGGTTATGCATGAGTGATTTCGAAAATCGAAAAAGTAGGTGACCTTGAAGAGATGTTAGAGACTATGCCTATGAAATTTGAATGGAAAAGGACATGAGGAAAGCACCTACATGTAACTAGGAATCACAAGCACCATGTGTAAAACGAATGCGATTTTCTGACGAGGAATATAAGGAGAATATTAATGGGGCAGAATGTGAACGAAAACAAGGCAATGACGAAGGTTCGTCATTGCAATGATTTATTGAGAATTATGAAGAACAAAAGAGAGAAGGTAATTTATAAAGAAAAAGCTTTTTAAAATTAGCAATGAAAAGAAGTGCATGTACATAAAGTGAAAGCTAAGAGAAATGTTCTAACTATTTTTAAAGCATTTGTAAAGAAACAGGCAGCGAGAGAGAGTGAGAGAAAGAAGAAAGTAGAATCAACAAGAAGCTGATGGAAAGGTCACAAGTGCTCTGAGATTTTCGCGGTAAGAATTGGGGGAACTCGATTCACCATCAGCTGATGTATTAGTAAACTCTACTTTGGTACCAGATAATACTCAAGAGAGGAAATAGCCCTAGATCTTCATAAAGCACATTCGGTTATTTTAAGAATAACAACTGGCTCCTTTATCATCCTGAATACGCAGCGCATGCATGTAGCACAAGGCCTCGCCCCTTCTTATATTTTTTCTATCTCCTAAAAAAAATGATGTGATTCTCCTATTTTTCCTTAGATATTTCTCAATATTTCCTTGATACATGTACAGGTGTATGTTACTTGCGTATAATTTCTGTGTTTATTATATTCACTTGAATGACAGATTTTATAGGGGGTGGGCATTTCTTTAAAACCTGAAATGGACTTGCACATTACAGCTATGTATCAAGAAAAAATGAGAGGGGCCTCTTTTCTTGGGGTGTGGGGGAAGGAGAAGGCAAATTGTCCTCAATATCTGGATAGGTGTTGCGATGGAGGGGGAGGGGGGGGTGTGACCC